CATCGTCAAAAATAGGAAATAGGAGCGTGAAAGTAGATGATCCCCTTAAAGCTAAAATAAGGTGTTTTAGACATTTTAGGTGTCAGTTATTCACTCTCACATATTCAGCTGGCTGTCACATTTTCTGAAAGATTTTGTATAGAGTGGGCTCTGATAGCAATTCGAACTCTTGCTTTGCAGCAATAGCAGGGAGAGTTCGCGCACTGTTGTTAATACTCATACCTTCTCATTTTCAGCTATGGCTTTAAATTTTTTGGGTTTTGAGTGATATAATGAAACTCGAGGTCTGATATCGATAGATAATGGCTGAAAATGCATTAATATGTAATTCAGCATAAATTAAAATTGCTCCCCAAGTGCTCTACACTATGTACAATATATTATTTAATGAGAAATATTATGTTTGCAACAATCGTACAAGTTTGTGGATCATCACAATAAACAAAAAATTACATAAATTAGTTTTATTTTGTTATGAGTATTTCAAAAACATAAATAACCGGTACAAAGATTTACTTAAATGCAAAGTTTTTTACAATCTAGTCTGTTCACATCATCACTGATGGCTTTGATATGCCGTTACTATAATATATATATATATATGTATTTATTTTTTTATGGTACCTAATAGATGCCCTCCACTCCACATTCAAATAAAATGTTTAAATTTGTTTTTGCCTGCAAATGAACCCAACATGTCAACTGCATCTAACTATTTAGTGTGTACACAATATCCATTATTATTCATTACATTTTTAATGGAAAAAACTGAAACTTGAAAATGTGTCAAAGTAACAAACTTTTCTTATGTAAATATTACATATAAAAATAATAGCGTGAATGTGTGTTTGTATGATTAAATATTTTTTTCTTCATTTCATTCCTTTTATTGTTTTTTTTTGTGTTTGAATACTTACATTTATATTTTTCGCCTGTTGTTGGAAAAATAAAATGAAAAAATATAATATAAGTATGTCAACATTATCTCCTTAACAGCTATCGAATACTATATGATGATATCTGTTATGACTATAGGCCGTTGAGTGCTTTGGTGTATATAGACAAGTGTACAATAAGTGCACATATTCACACATGCATGTGTGTACGTATATTATTAAGTGTGTATGCACATGTTAAAAGGTATAGCTCCCCTTCGTCAAATGCATGTGACTATACACATTTCCAGACGCTGTTGAATGCATTTCGTATATTACATATTTGTTTTTCAGCACATACCAACATATTTACATATATGTACATATGTATATTTATTTACATTCGCTGTCTATAATGGAGTTACAGTGGCGTTGCGGCAATAAAGAGACATTTGCCATATACACATTTTTTATATGAAGCAATCATATATTTACACATGTGCACATTTTTATTTGTGTCATTCTTTGTCACGAATGCCTTTTTACTATGCGTATACGCGTACAAAGGCAAAGCAAAGGATCAGCAGCTAAATTAATGGCAAAGGCGACGTTCGCTGCTTCTTCTTGCTGGTGGGCCGCACCCTACATTGACACTTGCACGTTGGCACAAAAATACAAATAAATAAGTACAAATTTCTTTGGGAATGAAAGAAATCGTGCGGCTGTGTGGCAGCTGAATTACTGCTAACGGCGTGTCATAAAACTTTGCAAGGAAATTATTTGTGTAGGTGCTAGTGTGGGTGCCGTTGCTGCTGCTGCTTTCGTCTTTTGTAAGCCGATGACATTCTTATATCCACAAATATTCATCAACATAAATGTCAAGCCTTATGGAGTGTGTTTGGTTAGGGTGTGTGTATATAATGCAGATATTTCTTATAATTTTCTTTATATACATTTTTTTTAACACATAATAGTTAAAAGTAAATATTAAGGGGTTAGGGGTAGTCAGAGGCACGAAAAAAATGAGAATTTTGAGCAATTTCTTTTGCTATTAAATCATGTTATTTTGCAAAAGTAGTAATATGGCATTATTATACAATGTTTAAACTTGAAGTCACGAAAATTTCAAAAAAAAAAATTAATATAAATAGATAATCCTGGGCCTGATGGAAGCTTTTTTGTTTTTTCAAAAATTAACAAAATGACGGCTTTGTTAATTGTCGAATAATTCAAAAAGTAATTATCGGATCAACTTGAAAATTTCAGAGAATATTTTCAAGATATTACACTTAACGAAAATGTAACAAAAATTCTGGCTACCCCTAACCCCTTAAAAACGATAGTATTAAGGAATTATATTCACATGCAAGTCAGAAACGCGTTCCTTTGTAATTTTTTTTTTTTAAGAGGCTTTTTATTATATAAATAAATAACATTTATACAGAATTTGATGTACTTTAATAAACATTTAAAAACATTTTGGATTCCCTTGAGAATCTCCAAAAAAAAAGTTTCTAGCGATGACGAACATTTTCCTTACCAACTCTGAAAACAGTGTTTCGAGAAAAATGCGTTTAAGGTTTTGGGAGCCGATTGCAGAATTAAGAAATTCTTTTACAAATACACTCCTATCTTCTTAAGTTTAGGACCTAAACTATTTGCCGGATTCCCTTTAAATTTTCGCAGAATATTCTCAAATTCATGAACATTCGGTATACATATACGCAAATTCACAAGTAAATATATTCCCTTAAATATTAATAAAAATATATAAATGTAACATAACTTTCTTCTAAGTGCTGATTTTATATACAAAACTACACGTCTAAAAAAGTTAAGAAGGCAAGAATTTCAACCTAACGAAAACATTGAAAATCTTTTATTCTGTTTTTCACAACCAGATTAGTTTCAGTTCCACTTTTATTTCGTTAGCAGAATATACTTATGTATACAAGTATATACATACAAGAAAAAAATTGCGCTGACAATAAAATTTTGAACTTCTTTCGTGCGCGAGAGAAGCGTTACTGAGCGTTGTAAAATTTCACTTATCTTGGCGCTACGAAAATCGTAAAAAAACAACTAATGAAATACTAATTAACTGCTGATAACATAAACGCTAGACTCACGCAAAATCTCCCAAAGTAGACAAACGTTCACTTTTTTTAAAAATTTTACACTTTCACTGCGAGTGTGCGCTTCAAGTTTGTAATTGAATCTGTTGAGCGGCTCTAATTTATGTTCTACTCTTTTTCGCATTAAACGGTTTACAAAACAGATTTAGACAATTACTTAGCGACTACTAACGGAAGTATGGAGGTGCGAATGAAAACAATAAACACAACACGTGAGACAAAAAAAATGATAAAATAATAAGAAAAAGTAAAAAAAATTTAAGCAAACCAAGAAATTATATTAATTAGAAAAAGTAAATTAAAAGAAATAATAATAAAATGAAAATTCAAAAAAAAAAAATAAAAAAATATTACAAAAAAAAATAATAAATAAAAATAAAAAAATATTACAAAAAAATAATAAAAAAATATTACAAAAAAAAAAAATGTAAAGAAATTAAAAAAAAATGAAGTAAAAAGAAAATTGACAAAAAATAAACAAAATATTAAAAAAACAAATTTAAAAACAAATTAAAAAAAAAACTTTTATAAAAGTTAAAAAAAAGAATTAAGTCAATATATGCCTTGTATCAACATATTATATCTTAGCTACTTAAGGCGCGCTTGTAATAAAACCGCTTATTTGATTGACAGTTAGCTTAATTTGATGGAAGTTGTACTTATATTCCACATATTTTATTTGTTGCCTACACTTTGTGCCCAATTTCTGAGCAGCTTTATTGTGCGGAATTTCGTAGTCTTCCATAAAATATTTATTGAATTCTGTAGCTCTTTGAAACAAGCAAAAAATATATTTTTCTTCTGCTCTTTGGCGCCAGCACCGTTGAGTTAAATATTTATAAAAAATATACATGCACATATCATTTCATTCATCATTTTTATTATAATACTCGTATATTGTACTCGTTCTTACACATATTTCCTCAAACGTGTTTATATTTCATATTACACCTTCTATTACTAATACTTAACAAAATTTTTCTTCGCTTGTTTTGCAGGTATGCTTTGTGAAACTGTAAAGCTGATCGGTTATGCGTGAGTGTTTAACCTGTTACTAATTAAGAACGTCTTTTCTTAACAAGTATTTATTTGTATAATTTTTTCTTCTAATTAAGTACTGTGATACTTCCCTATACAAATTCAAATGAAAATTTACCTTAAGAAATGTTATTTTTGTAGGTATTTGAAGTAGATGACCCTGCATACAAAAACAATTTATTGCATTTTGGTTTTGTTTTTTTTGGAGTGGAGGAATTAAATTTTGATGTTCATTTGTATCTAGAACTTGCGGTAGCTGACGCTGTGATACAATGTTGGTCAATTTACGAATTTTTCTCGAGAACTCCTTTTTTCATCTTTTAAGGCTTTATAAAAAAAATTTGTACGCTTGGTTTTTAAAACTATTATCTTTCAAGTTTTCGAAAATATTACGTATTAAGGAGTTAGTAGGTATAGCTATATAAGTCAATTAAACGCGTTTGTCTCGATGTTTTTTTTATAAATAGGCATTTTATTTAATAAATAAATAAAAATATTGTACATCTAAAAAATCTTTGGAAAAAAAGCGTCAGGCGGTGAGGAAGATTTTTATACTTAAACTTATCACAAAACCAAAACCCGAAAAAATTTATTATTTCAATAGTTGAATACATTGATAATGATCGAAGAAAGAAAAGTCGTTTTCTATAAAAAAATGCACACTTCAGAGTGGTTTGAAAACTCGAAAGTATTATCAAAATTTTATTTCCTCAATCATTACTTGACAAATATGTCTGAGAAGGTCGTGTGAAAATATCATGTCGATCGGTCCAACTGTTTCGAAAAAATTTTCCTCCTGACTCTGAAAACAGCGTTTCGAGATGTTGGTAGTCGTTTACAGTGTTTTAAAAAAACTCTTACAAATACGTTCATATCTCTTAAACTATTTGGACGAACTACAAATTTTGAGAAAATATTTTGGAATATTATATGTATATGTACATTCTATATATAATATTTGAAAAAGTTACTTTATTGAAATTCACATGTAGATAATAACCCCTTAAATGAAGTACTGTGATACTACCATAAAATATTACAAAAAAAATGTTTACGTATTCAAAGTTGATGACCTACAAGGTTAAGTACAGAAATAATTTATTGTATTCATTAACAGAATTCAGTTTTGTTGTTCATTGGTATTCAGAACGTACGTTATATGGCGTTTTTTTTTATCGGAAACTCCTTATTTCTCTTTTTAAGGATGAGTAAAAAAAATTGTATTCTTGTTTTTTTTTTTTAATTTTTTATTCTGCATTTTTTTTTAAATATTACTGTGTAATTCTTCAAAGATTTTGCACTGTTTCTAGTTAAAAAACGCATATAAGTTTAAAAACTAAAAAAAAACTCATTCTATAAATAATAAAACCGAAAATGGATTAACTTTGTATCATAAAATGTGTTCACAAGATCGTACATGATTCGTCAACTAAATACCTTAAACTTTGTAAGATTCCTCTGTTTTTTCCGTAAATTTACAACATCACCTTGAATAATGCGAACACGAATTACCATGACAACAAGGTTGGTTAAAATGACCAAACGAACAACAAAAATTTTAAATTTTTTAAATTTTACTTTGATTGATTCAAAACAGTGTACATTTATCATCTGGATTCATATCTGTGCCCAGCGCACAGCCAAATTCACGCGCAAACTCCACATTATTTCCCAAGACGCCATTAACATTGAAGAGTTCTTCGGTGTGCATATCGAGTGGTAGAAATGTTGGCGGCGTCTCCTTTACATATTTGGCATGGCAACGGGATTGCGCGAAAATGATGAAAAATAATTGTGTATTTGTAAAGTCTACACCCGGCAAAGTTTCACGCAATAATGTTGGCCGATTACTCGAATCCACCGCAGACAGCCAGCCGAGATAGGCCTTAAAAGCTATATTCAATCCGGCACTATCTGTCATGAGCTCACGCGATTTGCTTGCATTGTAGAATACATTCGGTATATTATACAAGTAGTTGCTGTACTGCGTGCGATAACATTCGGTAATATTGTTGAAAATTTCCATAATTGATTCATCACGTGTAAGCTCTGCCTGTTGTTCATCGGGTATCAAGGCGGCCGCCAGCTCACGCGCCATAAGTGGACCCAGTAACGCATATTTTAAAGAGTTGGCATACTTGTAGTCATAGAAGGGCGGTTGCAGCAGTCCCCAACCGGTCATGATGCCGTTATCCAGCAACTTCATACGCACATCAAACGCTTCGACGAGGCTTTCATCGAACTCGGGATCGCCACCATAGAAACGCTGACGCTCCTTGTATCCCTTAAATTTCATGGCGATATCTTGCTTATGCCAGAAATTGGTATGTTCTATTGGCAGATCACGTAAGTTGACACCCTTGTAGATGGGAAAGAGTAACGTTTCAAATGCTAGAAGTTTGTTACGCAACGCTCTCTGTGCATTATCCGATAAATCATTCACGTTTAAAGATTCACTCAATGTCCCTTTGATATCGGCGAAAAGTTGCTCAGCATCGCCTCTAATCTCGCTGCGTTGATATCTATTCTTATATATCTCACCGACAACTTTAGGGAAGAATCGCATGACCAATTGCGCGCAGTACCCCGCTCTTGGTTGACTAGTTTCATTGCGTGGAAAATTGATTTCCGTCAGTGCACGATACATTATGTAATTGGTTAGTGTTGGTCTGGGGTTTAAGCGTGCTATGTGTGCCAAATGTTTAAAATAGCGCGGAGATTTCATTACGATCTCCGAGTTTGCAACGGTTGAATTGAGACTGGTTTCCAAATACCTTCTGAAATTGATTATGTTACCAAATTCCTTTGAAAGACGCGCCAAATCTCGACCCTCATAAACATTCTGTTCGGGCTCACCATTCTCGGATGGCGGCAATGATTCATTCTCTCTCATATATTGGCATAATTCGAACTCAAAACGTATGATATCGCCAGCGACGCGTTCCGTTTCGTCTTCTTTCAGCCCAAACCAAGACTGCAAGTCATTAGCGATTTCAGTTTGCAACTGCGCAGTAAGTTTTTCGCCAACCTTCGCATCCAAAGTAGCACCTGCGCTGCACAAATGCCGCGGTAGTAATGACGTTGCCGGTTCTGTCAACTGTATCACCGTTTTGCCTGGTAGCGACTGCTCATTAGTCACCACTTCCATACCAATCAGATAGTCGAAGCCATAGTTCAGACGTAAACGCGCAATTACCTGCACCCAATCATAGTTCATATTCCAGTTGGTGCCCGCTAGCAACGGCAAGCCATTATATTCCTTTATGAAATTCATGAGAAAGGCTTGCTGCAACGACGAAGAGCGTTCGACCACTAAACACGACTTGTAGAACTCCTTAACTTTACGTTCATCCAAATTCGTTCTACTCTTGATGCGTGCACCGGCATCAAGCAGCATTTGTACGTCCTTTCGTACGCGTTGAACCAACTGACTTTGTACCGATAATGGCGCGTCACCCTCTAACAGCTTCGGTTGATGTAACGGCCAATTGCCGCATGCAAAGTCATAAAAGTTATTGCATGGATCGGCTTCTCGGTTTATATATCTGAGTACCTCGGCTGCCTTAGCATTGCGCATGATTTGTTCCTCCCTTTCGCGTCCATTTGTGCCACGTTCAGCCACAATTTGAGGCACAAGACTGCATAAAGCCAATATACAGCTTACAGCTAGTAGTAAAGATCGCATCAACGAGAATCCAGTTTTATGCATTTTGTCGTAATCAGACTGGAAACAGTACTGAAGTGTTGAAAATTTTTAAATACTTTCCAAAACAATAATTTGCTGCCTACACGAACGTTTCTTGCTATCGTGCGCCAACATCAGCACATTTTGGTGATAAGCAAAGCTTAATTATAAAATAATCGCTACGGCGCTTGAGCGTGCAAAGGTCATCACTATATAAAAGCAATGTTTTTGTTTACAATGTCATAAGCGTTGAAACGAGTTTGAATTTGATTTCATAAACAATTCTAAAAATTAATGCTAATATAAACATTCTCAGAGAGGATTATCGCCTGAACGATAAACAGTTTAAAAAGTGTTATAAACCGGGTAAGGTTTCCAGTTCGCGGTGGTAAAAGAATATTAAATTGGTATATCCGAATGACTTGTTAGAAATCAAATTATCAAAATTAAACGCGATCGAGACATAATTGTCTACCGTTCAATTTAAATTGATAGTCAAGCGCTATTAAAGAACACTACTGGGAAAAAACTGGTTAGATTTCGAGTTCGGAACAGGAGCAATTTCGATTAAATCGTACCAGTTCGAAGTAGACTGAAGTATTTCTAAAGGTTACTTTATTAATAGTGAGCACCTGAGGAATTTCAGATATTAGTTTCTCGTCGCTGACTGTTGAATCAGTTTCGGCATATTTTTCGGACAAGGGTAAAGAGTTTTTCTGTAGCTATGCTCTAACTAACGATCTATTTATAAAATTAATTAGGTTAGGGTGTTAATTGCGAAAGAAATATAAATTTAAAATCTATTTTTTGTGCTTAACATTACACAAACTCAAAAATGCTCTCTGAATTATGATTTATTTTCTCAAAAATATTCTTAAAGCTTTTAATTTACAGTATATAAATTTATATCTACATTTATGTTAGAAACTAATAAATAACACATTTATCCGGCGGATTCATTTCCACACCCATCGGGCATCCAAAGTCTCGCGCGAATTCATTATAATTTCTCAGCGGTCCGTTGACTAGGTATCGTTCGATCGTGTGTCGTTCAAGTGGACTGTAAGTGCGGGTAGATCCCTTTGTACTGGACTTCCGTGAGAACACATCGCCAGCGCTACAATGCAATTGCGCGAACGCAATAAAGAACAGTTGTGTATTGGTGAAGTTGAACTCGGGTAGAGTTTCTCTCGATAGCACCTCGTGATCGTCAGTGGGTTGTTGAAATGCCAACCAATTTAAGTAAGCGTCGAATGCTACATTTAAAGCAGCACTTTGTGCTATTATTTGACTCAATAGTGTTATATTTGTAAATAACGCGGGATCATTGTAGAGATAATTGCTGATCTGTTGACGAAAACATTCGCTACGATTGCGATACTCTGTAGCAGTAGTCTGATCCCAATTTAGTACACCATTAGGCGATGTGCTCCATGAGATGTCATCGAAGGCGCTGGCTAACAAAGAAGATAGCTTATGACCGATTGTAGCGTAACGCATCGAGTTCGGGTACTGGGTTAGATAGAGCGGTTCTTGCAACATCCCCCAACCCATTTCGAAGCGTGTATGTTGCGACCTATAGAAAATGTTCGTTTCATACGATTCTACTTGATCAAACATATTTGGATGTGGTGGCGGAAAAATCCGTTGGAATTGTGCCTCTTGTCGATTTTTCATTAGTATATCCAAGTTGTGCCAATAATTCCCGCGATTTATGTTTATACTACTTGTTTCCATTTTACCATAGTACGGAAAGGCTAGATGCATCTCTGCTAGTTTACTCTCAGCAATGCGGCGTGTATGCTCCTTGATCCAAGGGTTTTGTAAACTTTGGCGAAAAGATTCTTTCAGTTTGTCGAACATATTGACCACATCATCCCTAGCTTCAACATTCACATAATTTCTGTGGTACATCTCCCCGAGAAACTTCGGAAAGTAGCGCTTGGCCTTTTCCAAACAGAACAAAGCACGGCTACTAGGCTGATCTTTGTGTGGGAAACTTAAGGCCGCCAACGTCTGATACATAATGTAGTTTGCGATTGTCGTCTTATTCGTAGAGTCTAAGGTTTTGACAAGCTGCTTGTAGTACGCCTCGGTACCCATGAATACGGGTTTTTGTATTTGTGTGCCAAAAGTGGCCGCGACGAAGTCGATTTTATTATCGTATTGATATGTAAAATCATAAAGCGTCTTGCGTATATCACTATTATAACTACTATTCACGGCCAGTTGGCTGATATCCCATCTCTTTATACCGGTGCACAGTTTAAACTCAAATGCCACCAAATCGGAGGCAATCACTTGCGCCTTCTCCATATCAAGCGTTAGCCACATGCTGAGATTTTCGGCCACTTCATTTTCAATTATCGCATACTCTTCGGAGCGTAAGTCTGTCTTATTAGTACTCTCCGCACTACACAGTTCCGACGGTATAAAGGTGTCCGGTTCGCTCAAGTAGACGCTATCTTCGAAAGGGTACAAATAATTAACGTCGATCTTCACACCTACCAATATATTCATGCCATATTGGAAGCGCAATGTGCCCACCACATCTGGCCAATTATAGTTGTTGCTCTGCAGGTACCAGTTGGAACCCGGTATCGCAGGAAAGCCGCCATGCTTTTCGATCATCTGACTGAAGTACTCTTGCTGTGCAACACCATTCCTTTCGACCGATGTACATGATATATAAAAATCTTTTAATTTACGTCCATTTAAGCCATCCTCCAATTTAGTTTGCTCCTGCAGCATATTGCGTAAATCGTGATTCACTTTCGTACGCAAATAAATTTCCATATTTTTCAATATCGGCTGCTCGTATCGCGTTTGTACGTAGGGTTGCTCCCAACTGCCGCAGGCGAATTCGTAAAAATCCTTACAAGGATTGGCGTGCAAATTCATGTACCGGGTCATTTCGTTGCGTTTGCGTAATATTGTCGGATGATTTCGTTCTGCGCCTGCGACAATGGCAATCCAAAGCACTAGAAGAACACTGGTCCATAGTGTGGCCACAAGCATAGTCCAGTCGTTCACTTTGCTTTACGATGTAAGTTTGTGTACTAAGTTCCAAAGCGTACTGATTGCCGTCGCTGACGCCCGAAGTGCGAAACTGTTGCTGTGATTTGCTTAGCCTATGAAATGTTGATAAGTACGGGAGTATACACTGAATTTGTGTTGCATGCTATGCGGTTCTAATGCTCTTGGGGGCCAGAGGTTATCTCATCTAGCGAATTTGTATCATTATGTTTGTCCCAGAAGCTTGTTAGTCATTAAATATAGTACATTCTTGAAATATATGAAAACTATTTTAAATTAATTCTATAAATTAAATTTTTTTCTTATTTTTATGAGATGATTTGCAATGTTTTTGATTAAAATGTTGGTTTAATAAAGAAAGGTCTTTACTTTTCAATTACTCGCCCAGTCCCTAGTGGTATTTAAAAAAAAAAAGAAGGAATTCGAGGTTAGATTTTATGCTGAACTTTTATTTTGTGTTTTACTGGTTTTAATATAGATGAACAGATGACGGCAGTGAAATTATTTAAATATAAACTAATTTGGAACTAGTATAAACAACAAACAAGCCCAACTAGGCAGCGAATTATCCCTTTTCTGTACAAGAATTCGGTTTGAAATGTTCCAGTATCGTACTAAATCAGAATAGACTAGAAATCTAGTGCAATTATGGAACAAACTCACTAGTTTAGTTTTCAAAAAAATAAGAAATGAAATAATGTACGAAATTGGCTTATAAATCATTGTTTATTTGGTACTAGTCTGGTCTTTTTGGGATTAGTTCGTTTTCAGATGTGTACTAATTCACCTGAGACTAGTTTGATGTTTAATTTTAGTCTAGCAACGTAGTGTGTGTGATTATACTTTTATCTAAAATATCCAATGAAACTCCAATTTATCTATATTTCGTCTAAATATTTTTTTCTTTTTTCCATTGCAGGCCATCTTCGAACTAAATTTCTATAAAATCAAAACTCATTAACGAAGACGCCAAGTTTTTCATATCGATTTAATGCATCAGTGCGCATTAAATGTCTTACAACAGAAACTAAGCGACAACAACAACAACAACATCTATATTAATGTGAAATAATTATAGAGATTCATAGTATTGATGAAGGCCCGCGAACACCTTTCGTAAAAACAACTCAACCGCATACATTCATAAATTAAGGTGTTGGTGAAGGAAAGAAAGGAACTCTTGAACACGGTAGGTACAACATTAAAAACTTAATAAATAGATACAACAAAATAAACAAAACTTATCATTATTTAACGGTTTAATCACTTTCACCTCACAAGCCTATCCCAAATACCCGAGAGTTAACACTATTTAAGAGCTTTGCAACAAATACAGCTGCAAATGTGTGTGTGCACGTGTGTATCTAAGCGGAACTCAAAAATTGAAGAAAATAAAATGTGTCATAAAATTAAGCAATCTTCAAATGGGTGTTCGTTTGTGAACTAATGCAACCGGAGTTGTACTTGCGCTTTTTATGCTAATAATTTAAACTTTTGCGCTCTAACTGTATTGTGAAACGCAATGGTTTTCCTCAAAAAGTTAAAAAATACATGCCTCTATAGTTTGCTTTCATTGCATTTTGCTTGATTGCATGTTAAATTAGCATAAACTTTTCAAAAACTTGCTAAAATCGGAACATTTCGTTGGGAAATAGTTAAAAAATTCAAATGGTAAGGCTGTAAACAGCTACGTTGGGGTCCCGATACCTTTCTAGTTATGACTACATATAAGTTATTATTGCGTATATACCTAAATAAATTTGGGACTATTTGGTTACTTTCGAGTATGAATTTGGTAGTCTATATGGAATTTAAATGTTTTCAAATTTTAATTAATTTGCATTTTGAAAAATGTTTAATAACCATTAAAATATAAACTAAAAGTACTAATTTTTAACTTCCAATTTTACCGAATAAATTCACATTTACATTGAAATATATGCGGCTATTAATTTTAAATCAACATAACATTACTTATATAATTTATTTATACTAAAATTTCGGGTGCGTTATACAAAGCAATTTAATTTAAGTTTTTCATTTTTTAAATTTTCAAATAGCCATTTTGGCTTTTGTAAAAAATTTTACTTCAACCAGTGTTTTAATAGCATCGACACTCGGTGCAAAACACGCTAAACTTTAATCAAATCACTTGTGATTTTTTAAATATTTATTTTGTGTTATTTTGGATGCTCACGTGCTCGACTGTCATTAAAAATATACCAGCAAAATTTACCAGCATTTTATATGTATACATATGTATGTGCTAATTGCATTTACAAATTTCGTATTTATGTGGCTGCATTTGGGTTTGTAAATAAAAATATGTATGTGTGCGTGTTTTCCAAACATTCATTCATTCATACTAGTTCGTAGACGTCTTGCATATAAATATTTTTAAGGCTTCCTATATATGCCATATAACATACAGTACAGTGTTCTCTATAATTTTAAGAGTGCTACTGACTTTCCGCTTGGCCGCTATAAAACCGGGTCCGTTACGTTTACGTAGACCGAGAAGTAGCGAGCTTAAGTGGGCGAATAGAACACTAAATAAATTTTGTCTTCTTCTGTCCTTTTCAAGATAAGATTCTGATTCAAATATCAATATACATTATGCAATTAAGCGGAGTTTCTGTAACTGATGAAGCTGCTCAACAAATGAACTCAATATTGTATATTTATTTATTTTATCACTTTGAGGTACTATTAACCGGAAACTACTGTTGTATGCATGTATATTGAGCGTTAATGTTGTGGCGCAAACTTAGTAATTTGGTTTGTAAATTTTCATGTTGTCGAACATGCAATTATTTTGGTATTTTCATATACCTTTGTTTTATGAGCAACGAGCAGCCATAATTGTATTATATGTGCGTTTATGTGTTTATGTACTTGTACTTACGTGAAAATTACGATATTCAAGGACAAATGAGAAGTTAACTAAATTATTGTGCTTCCCTTCGTATTATGATTGATTGAAATGCGATTAACCCAATACTAACTAGTTTTAGTTTTTAATGAGCGCATAATAAAAAAGTATTACCATGATGAAGCGGTGGAGTTAGAACCATGTAGACTTTGATGATTGTTTGTGATTAAATGAAGACTCAATACATATGGAGAGTTTGAGAACAAACTCTTGGCATCTTGGATTCTCATGTTCAAATCTAGACTCTCAGTTAACCTCAAAAAATATACATTTATTGATGTTTATTATAATATAACAATACTTTCCCGTATTTAAATGGTGCCTTTTAGTTTTTAATCAGTATGAAAATCTTGCTGAAATTCCAGAAACATCTAAAACTTAGCGGTTTTTTCAATAATATGTTAGGTCAGGTTAAAAGGTGGATCTTAACAGTGATCTCACTTGAACAGCTTAGAACCTCTGTCCGTTGTGGTACCTAAAACTCATATATAATTGATCATAGAACCCTCAAAAATTGATTCAGCGCTTTGAGCCCATTACAAATTTGTTAAGGCGGCTAATGTCGAAGTTTCGGCTAGGTCTAAGAAAGACTGCCAAGATGTTTCAACATCAGTATTGCCAAGGCTGAGCAATGAAAAAAAAGTCCATGAATGTTTTCACCTCAACTTCTTCTATACAACTATGAAAACTTGCGTTCAATAAGATCTTTAGCCTTACGACATGAATGCCTATAGAACAGTGTCCAGTAAGAATTCCTACGATTGTGGCGAGGTGAACTTTGTTAAGGATAATAGTTCAGTAGATCTTCTACGTTCTACCCTAGGCCAAAAGGATTTCGCAGTCGCACAGAAGTGGGTCGTCGATAACATGTAAAATAATGTTATTTTTTAAACGACTTCACAACTAAAAAATACGAGTATAGTATATAATAAAATATTCCTGGTTTCATTATGTATCCATTGCATATCAAGCATTAAAAAAAAATATAATCCAAAATAATACTCAAAAGCTAATTTGATTTAAGTTTATAATTTCACACATCATTACCTGTTTTCATACATATACTATGAGTCAAAAATATTATTTCAGATTAAACTGGAAAATATGAATATAGGGATAGCGTGACATGACAGTTAATAAGATGACAAAAACATCTTATTCAAACATTTATTCATCGAACTAAATAATGAAAAAACAGTTCTTTTGAAATCTGTTGACTATCATGATTAAGTTTTCGAACAGGCAGTTTAAAATCCTCCAATCTTCAATTATATGGAACACAGAAGTGAGTTTTTCGAACTTTGGTGGCAGCAAAAGCGTCGATAATAATCTGGAAATCCAAATTCTTGGCTGATTCTGCCTCTGGGCATATTCTAGCTAGTTTTGAAATTCTGCCCTGTTACGAGCATGATTGATGAACATTTTTGATCCTTGCTAAATCACTAAACGAACGTTCACCACTTGAAACAGAAACGGGTAAAGTTCAAAATATTCTCAAAGCGAAGCAAATATTTGGGAAAAGTTTTCCTATCCATCAACGTCCCGACGAGTTTCTGCCATAAGGTTAAGTTTTTTTTTTATTTTATTTATCATCAATTCTGGCAGACCACCTTGTATTAGAAAGACAGTGAAGTGAATTGGGTATTTTGAATTTTAGAATTTCCCAACGTTGTGAGCTGCTATCGAAAATATTGAAACATTTTTGAATGGCACCAAAAACAGTTATTGCTCGAGGATAGCACTCAGCCGAGTCGACTCAAGCCAAATTCAGCGTGTGAGCAACACAGGGTGAAAGAACTGCACACTTATTTTTACGTTGGATGTGATTTTGCGCTCCTTCATATTTACCGTCATACTACAACCGTTATCGTAGCCCTCTCCACTGCAAACTTTCAAAATAGTGTTTTAATTTTCCAAAGTTTTGCAATTTAAAACAGCAATCATCGCTTTAATGGTTTTTCCTGACAATCTACAAAAAGGAGATAACGCTGCTCTACGTAGTAGCCTTTTTTTCACAGCATCAGCAAAATAAATATAGTTTGCTATGGGCCTTCGAGAACTTCGGGCCGATGGGAATCACCTCCGACTCCCCCGCTCTCTGTATGCAAACTTATGAAATTTCATGCTTCTGGTTGGTTTCTTAAATGAGTATTTATGTTTTATTTAAAAAATATGTTTCGCTTTGATGCATACACCAGTTGACAAGTCATTAGAAACACTTATATATATATAAAAAATAACAAAAAATAATACTCAAAAAACTAATTTGATTTGAGTTTACGATTTCACAGCATTTAAAAAGTTCGAAACCCTTTCAAACACATAAAAATATTCGATAACACTCGATTTTCTAGCCCGCTGCGGACATTAACAGACTTCCACTCAACCGGGTTTCCAATAACGGTACCGTCCCGATACGATAATGCACGTGATATCCATGTTTATCGGCAGTATACTCCGTTATCGCCAAAAATATGAGACCCTCCTTGTTCGGTGGACCGAGTTCAACGGTCCAATTGCCTCTAACCACCAACTCCTCATCAGCGGTGCCGGCGTTCTCGAGTGTGATGACCTCATGACGGGTACTGTAACCTGGTTGATTGAAGCTGCGCAGTTGAAAAAAAAAACGATTTTTATTTAAGTGCTCACTTTTCCAACACTTACAAAACAACAAGTATTGTTTTTAAATAAAAAATTGATATCACCTGAGTGTGTGCAGCACTTTTGTATCAGCGTTGACCGTTAGGTGTTGTAAGACCACATTTAGTATGAAGAAGGCGGACAGTAAGAACAGCAAGCGCTTTATTTGAGAGAGTTGAAAACAAAAAAAAAAAAATAATTCTTGTGCTCAAGTTGTTGTATTATTTAACTATAACGGTGTGCACTTACGTAGGCTAACGGCATATTTTTTTTATCTTATTCAAAAATGTACGGTTTTCGGTCTGTTAAATTCTAATTGCACTTTCTATTTTAATTCCTCTACTAATTTCACTTTTTTGTTTCCAACACTAGAGCATCTTCACTTTGTATTCTTAGTAATAGCGCAAGAAGCGAAGAACATGTTTTCCTGTTTCGCGTTTTACCACCAATTATTGACTGCAGCGCCTGCAACTGCTATTTCTACACTAGCCGTCGAGAGCATTACACATTAGAATAAATATTTCCTCTGGACACACAAAAGATCGTACAAATGAGTTTTAGCAAATAATAGTCAACTTATTTAAGGTATATTCTATACTCAGCAAAGCTTGATCCATGCAAAAAACCAAAAAGAATAATTAATAAAATCAATAAACATTAATAACTGGTTGCATACTACTACACACATACACAGCAAGTATAATTAATTATGCAATCATCTTGTGTTATGTTTTGAGTTGTGCATCCGCATGACACGCGAAACTTGCGAGAATGGCTCAAGAGTAGTGCAGTTAGCACATTTGATTTGTACATATATATTTATTTACATATGTATAAATGATAATGGATATCACCATCACTTGATGTAAAAATATTCGAGAGCGTTCGCAACGCATTAAAAAATATAACAAAAACAAGTTTTTTTTACATTAGTCAAAGTATTCACTTCAAAGTTGCTCTCTGTATGCAAAAATCTAAAAAAATTGCATGCTTTTTGTTGGTTTCCAAATTGAGTAGAACTAATAGAGGTACATTTAAAGTATATGTTCTGCTTTGATGTATACACCACTTGACAAGTGATTAGAAACACTTGCGAAATAATGTGTCAATATATCACAATGATAATATTTTTTTAAAAGATATTTTAATCCAAGTTTACTAACTAAATCTGATTGTTTGAAAAAATCTGTCAGCATTTCTCCGGCACAATTTTTTGGCATGAAAAAAGTACAACTCTTTTATTTTTTTATTTTTAAATGGCGATTAGTCGAACAGAATTACCCGATCTAGTGTTCTTCTAACGTTTCAATACAATTTTTACAGCAAAAGACTATTTTGCTTCTAGTTTCGGCGATTCTCGCTTCACTTTGTTTTAGAAAAGGAAAAGTGGCTGCGGATCTGGTGATTAAAATTAATATATTGACGGTTAAAGTTTGACAATTTTAAGGCACATTTGTTGTTTTTTTCTGAATATTCCACCTCAATGAAAATACATCATTTCAAATTGCAAATCTTATTGTTTTGTAGGAAATTTACTGCTGCCCTTCACAACAAGGTTCTTTTTATGAGGTTCACATGCATAAATATATTATATAAACTAATATGTATTTTAAGTACTTGTATACTTTTAAGACTGAATCCATATGTCTGGTTAGGAGAGCATATCCTATATATAGGGACAATATGCTAGCGAATTAAGATCTCCACATTCTTTTTTGCTTATACATTTACATACAAGTATGTCTATGAGATAACGATTTTCACTACCTAATCAATCGATCAAGATTTTCAAAGTCCATATAGAATTCTCACGTCGTCAATGTGAGCCAGTCTTCCTCATTTTGTAATAAAGAAGCTTTGTTAATATTAACCACTGCTTGCATAAATATTTACATACACATATACTAATAAGTATTTAGTACTATAACTAAACAATTGCGAGGGGCAAACCATGAACTTTCCGTGGCGTTAAATCTTTGAACCCCTTAAACGTGATTACATCATAATCATAGTGCTAAGTGTTAATTATTTATTGTAGTCGCAAGACATTACGCTTGTTTAATTCTGTCTACTTTTGACAAAGGAACTAAATTGACTTAGCGAATTAATGTTCTATCGAAAATATATAAATTTAAGATTTTTTCAAAGATGAGACTTTAATCGACGGATTTCATAGCTGATTGGTAAAAAAATGTATACTTGTACTAATGAGGCCGCATAAACTTCAGAGCAAAAAATGCTAAGTCGAGTTTAGTTTCATTTGTCAAATTAATAAAGAATTGTTCGTGTTAAAAGCTTTGAGCTGTTTTAAATTATATTTTTTTCATAAATATGTAAACGACACTGAGATCAACAAGAATAGTGCTTTTGACACGTATAATTTTTGACACCAGCTATCCAGAGCTTTTCAAGTTTTGTACGTAAGAGTTGCTATTTCGATTCGCTAAAACTTGGAGAGTTATTAGTAAAAAGATTCAAAAGTCATATAATTCAGAGATTTATTATCAAAAAGTAATGTTATTTTTAAATGATGCAGATAAATAAAAAAAATCTGTAAATTAAAAACAAAAAATTCTACTCCAAATAAAGCTCTCTACCATATATGTCTACACAGATGCACTACCATATATACAATTTTTTTGGCAATCACAGCAATTTTTCTCAATATGAAGCTATGATTTCTTACTTGATTTTGAAATTTTATCATAAAGCTGATTTTAATAAAATTTATATAAATAATGGTTTTCGAAATTGTGTGAATGCGTATTGCGTTAAAATTTTCCGTTATGTTTGTTTATATATATACACATTTAGATATATATACTTAGCACAATTTATTAACTCGATTGAAACTTATTCTTCCTTCTCCTAAGTTTTGGAAAACAAAAATATTGTTTAAGTTGTAAAATATATATTTGATACTCTTATAAAAACGTATGTATTCGTATATTTATTACAATTTATTACAAATAGATAACCTCAAATAAATCTATATGCGTTGATAAAGCGAAGAGTAACGCGTAAAAGTTTTGGAGAGGGGATAATAACGTTTTTGATTAAAAAAAATTTAGTTTGCTTTATAAAAATACTTTTGCTGCAGTATTACGCGCTACGCTCAATAAAAGCGAGCGTAAGAGAATAAAATATGTAAGATGTGCGAAAAAACTGCCTGCTTCTTTGTTTCCACGCCAGAAGCGATTTGCTTAAACTGTAAAGGGTTTTAATCATTTATGTTATATGTTACTTATTTTCATAGCATTCCCACTGCATTTTTGTTTTTGTTATTATCTTGCATTTACTTGTTCGTTTGTTGTTTTATCAGTTTTATTATTGTTGTTGTTTTTCTTTCGTTTATAGTTTAAAATATTTATTACTGTCGCCATATTTTTGTGTTAGATTTATTATATTAACAGTTAAAAAAAAAATACAAAAACAAAGAAAACGAAAAATGATTGTATACTGACGTGTATCCCCTCTTCAAAATTCTGTATATTTTCAGACGAGCAAATCGTATTGTAAGTCTGCGCGCCTAAATCTATGCAAACAATATATAACAAATAGTCTAAAGTCACACGCACACACACAGAAAACGGTCGCTCGTATATGTGGTAATTCTTGTTGTTGTTGATGGTGGTGGTGATGGTGCTTTTTGTACGTGTTAGTGCATTTTAACCCCAAAAACAAAAAGAAAAAACAGTAAACTAAAGTGGAAGCATCCAACATTCAGCCAAGTCTCGAATCGAAAACACACTCTTGGCAATGGGTGCAAATGTATCGCAGCTGGAGCGTGAAATCGGCTCCGATCTCTTTCCGCCCAATGAGCATTATTTTGGCTTGGTAAATTTCGGCAATACATGCTATAGCAACTCTGTGCTGCAGGCGCTCTACTTTTGCAAGCCCTTCCGGGAGAAGGTACTCGAATACAAGGCAAAAAACAAGCGCCCCAAAGAGACTTTACTCTCTTGCTTAGCCGATCTGTTCTATAACATTGCTACGCAGAAGAAAAAAGTTGGTTCGATAGCACCGAAGAAGTTCATTGCACGCCTGCGCAAAGAGAAGGAGGAATTCGACAATTACATGCAACAGGATGCGCATGAGTTTCTCAATTTCCTAATCAATCATATTAACGAAATCATTTTGGCCGAACGTCATGCCAGCAAGAATGGCGCCAATTTTAATGGCAACGGTAATGGTGGCGGCGGCGTCGGCGGCACCTCCACTGCCAGCAAATCCTCTTCGTCCACCAGCACATCGACAACTGCCTCGAATTCAACGTCCAACGGCACCTGCACCAATTCATCCGGCTCGCTAAACGGTGTCGGCGTCGGTATTGGCATCGGCGATAATGCTTCGACGCCAACGCAATCGAATGCGGCCAACACCGAACCCACGTGGGTACATGAGATCTTTCAAGGTATACTGACGTCGGAGACCCGTTGCCTCAATTGCGAGACCGTTAGTAGCAAAGATGAGAATTTCTTTGATCTACAAGTCGACGTGGATCAGAATACCTCGATTACACATTGCTTACGTTGCTTTAGCAACACCGAGACACTTTGTTCGGACAACAAATTCAAATGCGACAACTGCTGCAGCTATCAGGAGGCGCAAAAGCGTATGCGCGTCAAGAAGCTACCAATGATATTGGCGCTGCATTTGAAACGCTTCAAATATATGGAACAATTTAATCGCCACATTAAGGTCTCACATCGTGTTGTATTCCCACTTGAGCTGCGTCTATTCAATACCTCTGACGATGCCGTAAATCCGGATCGTTTGTACGATCTAATGGCCGTCGTTATACACTGTGGATCGGGACCTAATCGTGGTCATTACATTAGTATTGTCAAAAGCCACGGGCTCTGGCTATTGTTCGACGATGATATGGTCGATAAAATTGAAGCTTCAACCATCGAAGATTTCTACGGACTGACGTCGGATATACAAAAGTCCTCGGAGACGGGTTATATATTGTTCTATCAATCGCGCGACTGTGCGTCATCGTAGAGCGCCAGAGCTTATGGTTAAATTATGCAAGATGCTATTTGTGGAAATGTTTTTGAAAATAGCTACCCATGAATTTATAGATTACAACAATTATTGTTTAGCGAAAGGCATTACGAAATGTAGCTTTCAGAAATTCTTGAAAACAAAAACTGTACGTATTGTAATTTTATGTAATGTTTAGATGTTAAGTTGATTACTTGCTTTGAGGTCTTTTACAAAATATAACAAGTTGCTTCACAGCTTTTATAGTAGCATACCTTAAGGATGTGTTGGACGTTAAAGCCATATTTTTTGTTATCAGTCGCTTGTAATTTTCTTTTTAAAAAATAAATTTAAAATAATAGGATGGGTGTCACGGTCCATTAACGCCACTTTTTAAAACAAATAATTTGTGTAGCACATCCTAAAAATATGCAATGTAATATTGCTCCTTAATACATTGCCTTCGCGTTGAGGTTCTTCGTTTTGAGCTTTGCGGTATGCAGCGTTGTTACATTTTGTGAGTCAATTAACTTTGTTTAGCATTTTTTTCAAATATTTAGGTAAATTTATTTCTATCATCAAGTATCAATAGTGGGAGGCGCACTTAAATTATGAAAAGCCGAGAGAGCACGGTCTTCAATAAAATGCTATATATATTTATAACAAATAATGTACTATAATAGTTTTTATTCCAATTAGTGATTTGCTGTTATCGATTATTGTATAATTGTGAAACAAGAATTGTAATCGTTTTCGATTAATCATGTTTAGTTAGTTCTCTTATAATTACATTATGTTCAATAGTATTCGTATATCTAAAACAATATTTTTTTTTCAATTAAAATATATGTACATACATATGTTACAGAATGCTATACACATAGGCTACATACAAATATTATTGTCAAACATGTTTGCTTTAAGTATAAAACGATTTGAAAAATATTTTAGATTAGTTTCAAAGCTATACTAGTAGTTACATAGTATGTCTCTATTGCTAAAAATTATACATACACACATACATATTAAATAAAAATGTTGAAAACGGTCAAATAATGTTTTTCTTCTCCAATTAATAGTAATAATAACCAATCAAATGTTACTTCAAGGGTGTAATAGATGTATGTATGAAGTAAGTCATATCCGAATTATTGTCCAAAGCAAACGGCAATCTGCGAGCAAATTGGCGAGCTGAACAATCAAAATAAAAATCTTGCAAGAAAAACTTTTTTATTTGAGAAGATATCTTCATGAAATTTCTCACGTATTATATTATTGTCCAGGCTAACGCTTCATCCTCTGCACAAATTGTTCAGATCGGATCACTATAATATATAGCTGCCATTCAAACTGAACAATCAAAATTAAGTTCTTGCAAGAAAAAGGTTTTAATTTGTGAAGCGTATATTAGTTTCGTTGCAATCGAAGTAAACGTTTTTTCTTGTTTAATTTTTATTTTTTATATATTATTTTTTTATATTTTTTTAAATATTTTTTTTTTAATATTTTTTTAAAATATTTTTTTTATATTTTTATTAATAATTTTTTTTAAATATTTTTTTAAAATATTTTTTTAATATTTTTTTTTAATATTTTTTTTTTGTAATATTTTTTTTTTATATATGTTTTTTTTATATATATTTTTTTTATATATTTTATTTTTATATTTTTTTTTTATTTTTTTTATATTTTGTTCTTTATATGTTTTTAATATTTTTTTTTCCATTCATGACATTATACCATTTCGCGTACTCTATGAGTTATGACAACAATCGACAGCCCACTTAATAGAGCGATAAATTGTTGTTATTTACTTGTTGCACAGTAATTTATAAATATTTTGTTGTATAAAATATTGGCGGCAATGACAACAAATGTTTGCCTAACCGCTTCGATATGTGCCTAATCATTTTCAATTAAGTATTGGCACATATAAAATATACACCTACATACAAGTATGTGTATACATACGCACATTCGTATATGAGTATTAATTTTAGCCGCAATAATTGCTGTTCAATAATTTTGTTTACCTTTTACCTTTATTATCTGTTTATTGTTATTGTTGTGTTGCCACTCACTTTTGCATTTGACTGCAGCTATTTTTGATTTTAATTTGTTACAATTGCAATTTGGTAAATTGATACAGTTATACGAATTTACTTTATTGGTATACCTATATACATATATACATACATATGTACTTACAAGCAAATATACATAAGTGTTTATTTTTCATGCGCCATGGGTAACTCAGCGGGCTATTCTGCCAACGATCAGCATTCAATTGTCTCGTTTATTGGGCTTCATTGGATGACACAATATTTTTCTATTAAGTGCTTTTTTTATAGTTGATGCAATAAGTCATACATACTGTTTAAAAAAAAAAATGATTGTCTCAGCAGTAGGTACCATTGGATATCGGCAAGCTACTGCGAAGTTCGTATATACTTATAACTCTTCAACGAAATATACATACATACATACTCACCATACATCCCGTGATAAAAAATTTTATTTGCATTATATTTTATAATTTTTGATACGTAAATAGTTTCAAGAAATTAATAATAACATTTAAACAAATTTTTACCCTGACTGAAAAACAAAACTACATTTTCACGTATCTTAATATAAAACTTTATTATAGCCTTCAAAACAGGCTCCTTTTGAGCCTTCATTGCTTTTGCGCGTTTTTATTTTTTCGATTTCGATTTGACTATTTTCATTATTTTACGATTTTTTCGTGCTCTACCAAACTTATGGTTATAGGTGTTAGTATTTTGAGCAGTCTGTGTGGAAAACAAAGCTTAAATAATTGTTTTCTAAGATTAAGAGATTCTTTGTTTAAATGATAAATTAACGAAATTTGTGAAAAGTTGTAAAAAATGTAAAATGAAATGGAAAATGTTGTACTGACTGTGTAAAGAATAAAGCCTTTTTTTAAATACCCTGATTTCTTTTTAAGGACTCAACTTTAATATGACAAATCAATACAAAAGTGACATTCAAACAACTCATGAACAATTTTGCATACATAGTTTTGGGCTTCGATGTGAATAGTTTGCAATGTAGTCTGTATCTGTCCTTTGAAGAGATTCGTATTTGCAACAAATGTGACTTGACAATGAAAAAGCTGTCACATAAGCTATATAGAAGCGATATACATATCAGTATATATGTACATTTACTCGTAGATAAATATTTGCTTATGTAAAACAAAAATAAAGTATTCAGCTTCTTTTATATAATGTATTTATAAACCATGTGTGTGTACGTATGGTAGACAGCACACATTCTATAAACGTCTCCAAGCAAAAACTCGACGGTTGCTCATAAGAGCTCAAAGCCACTTCAGAATTCAACAATCCTTTGTTAACTAAAAATAAAAAGAAAGAGAAAACAATGGTTTCTAAGCGGGTATTCTCAATTTACGTGTTAAGAGTTCGAGGCTGCGTTGCTTTGGTAAAATTTATTACTCACTTTAGCACACACTTCCTTATTGAATTCAAGTGCAGTTAATGCGAACTCGTCGGAAACGCTTACTCATCACACAATCCCGATCGATCGCCGAAGTGAAAGTGTCACTACAAATTCCTGCTACCTTTCCTCTACATTTTCCTCCTTGCTTGATAATGTTTTTGCTATTGTTGCTGTTATTTATTAAATAGTTGTAAATAATGGTAGGCCAATGATAAATGCGTTCAAATGCGGAATACTTTCCAAAACTTAACACCCAAGTAATCTGTCTTGTTGCAGCGCCTATAGCGGCTCGCCCTCGGTCGACTTGCTATGTAACGGTGGTGTGCGGTTGGCGTGTCTGACCGCTATTTATACCGGTATCTTACACATATTCGCTTTAGCGGCAAGCTTCCAGCTAAAGGCGGGCATGCTAAAATGGCACGCCTGTGGGCAGACTCCCTGCCGTTGTGCGCATGCGTGTACGCATTTAGCGCTGCCAATGCCAATAAATAACAGCAATTTGCCGAAATTGCTGCAAAACATGTTTGACTAGTGTAATTGTCTGTCTCTGCTGTTACGGTTGCTGTTGCCATTTTATTTACCATACATATATTTATTAGATTTCATTGCCTATTTGCATTGCTATCGGACGCACAATTTGCTACCTCATTGCATCGCTTGCCACAAGCAAGAAAGAAAGAAAAATACAAAATAACGGTAATGCGCTTAAAAACTTGCGTGCAGCGTGTGGCAGTTGCCATTTTGCATATCACTAAACATTTTCCTGTATCTCTCCTAAATTGATCTGGTTTTGGCGCTTAAGATTTTAAAGTTGTTTGCTTTCAGATGTGAAATGCAATTAATAGAAGCTACGTTTGCAACAATTTCATTTGTTATTTGATATTCAACACGGCAGCTTTGTAGTGTCACATCGTTTGATGGAACTTGTTACCCTCGTTTAATTGAGTTGTGGGAAATATTTGGGTTTATGACAGCGGCTAGCGCTTTTGCAAGGCATAAAGAGAGAAATTCAATATTTCAGTTGAATTATGTTGGTTGTCTTGAGCGATTAGAGATTAGTAAGGAAAATTGGCGAATCGAATAAAACTGGTATTAACTGTTATAATTAAATATATATAAAATAACAAGCGATTATAACACTTTAATGCAGAAGCCACATACTCTCTTGTATTGAATTCCATTTACAACTTTTTTTTTTGTTGTTTCGACCGTTTAGTTTTTGACAAGAGGACAGGGCTCAAACATAGTACATATGTAGGTAAAGAAGTGTTTATTTTGTACTTTGAAATCTGATTGGGGTCTATTCATGATATAGTGATCATCCTGCTTTTATTTTGTAACTCAAACTTTCTTCCTACTTTAATATCTCGTAACGTTCCTGAGTGTTTTCTGTTATGTTTAGGTAAAAAGCGAAGTTTCCAACATCTAAATATCTTATCTTTGGGTGTCATCTTCAATTTAGATTGCCTGTTCATTATATGTATGTATCCATTGTAACAACATAACATTTTGAAATAATTTTGGATTGGATTTTTAGTTATTTTTTCGATCTAAGCGGACATATTATTTAAATACTTATGTGACTATCGCAGGTAAAAATTATTTGAACTTTTTCTCATATGTTGTATTGTGAACATATGTGCATATATTCAACAGCAGTGGATTTACAAGCCCTTCGCACCCTAGATCCATTCAGAAGGCAGCTGATATACATTTTCCAGGGTAAAAAAGTATTTTTCCAACAAAGTCCGAATTTTACTATGAGCCATATCTGTTTATTTTAAGCAGCCTGTCCAAATTCCCTTAAGGTTTTTGCTAAAAATCTCTAGATGACCTTGATATCGATATGCACCGATCCCCATCTATGTTGAAAAAATACAAAACATATTTAGTTTTTTTTTTGACCAAAAATTCACCGTTTAATATTATTGATGTAAACAATAATTGTAGATATTTTGACCTGAATTTATAGAATTCTTAGAATATTTCAGTTTAAGACCAATATTTCAAGGATCCTGGTAAAAATGATAGAAATTTTTGAGTTGCAGGTCCCATTGGTTTAAGAATAAAATTTACACGAACAATTCAAAGTGAAACTCAGATATTAACCAGCAAGAGTCGATCGGTAAGATATGGATCGAACAGAATCTGGCTTATCCAATAGCAAAAACATGTTGGTTTGTTTTAATTTCAATTTTGAAACTATTTGAAAAAAGCCTGCAATACATATATAATATGTACACATTTGATACAAAGCCACATACATACATGGTATATACTCCTACATATCTATTAATTAAATATGTCTACGGCACGCACATCTCAGGAAGAAGTATATTTTTAATTCCATGATTACTCCGTTAACTGTTTGCGTAACAGAGGTTGTGGGTTACTTGAAAAGTTGTTGTTGTGTTTGATGCTAATCAATTGTTGTTGCTGCCGCTGATGGTATTTTGTTGTTAAAATATGCGTAAGCCTGAAATTTGTAATGATTTTATCGCCATCGCGCACTTATCAATCGCCCATAGAAGGAAATCTTTTCGGGCCAATGCACATTATCCATTGCGATA